TTAAAGAATCTGCCTCGTCTTTTAAAGGCTGAAACTTGACATTACATCTCTAAAACCAGCCTTCCGTTTTCTGTAGCCACTTCACTTCGGACAAACGATGCATCTTACAATTTACCGTAGAATCGCATCATTGAATAAAATCTCGCATTCTGATTGGTTAACGAAGCAAGGTATTTAGCGTGGAATTGCGAGTTGAAAACGAGGCTAAATGATATTGTTTCGCATCTACGTAAACATAACAATTTTAAGTAATGCTGTTTCCCTTTTCTCTCATTTTTATTCAGTTGCGCGATTTAAGGAAAAGCCATTACTTCACTCGTGAATTCCGCATTAAATTGCACTTGAAAACCGATATCCCGCGAATCGCGAAGCGATTCGTGCGATATCGGTTTTCGCGTGCAATTTAATGCGGAATTCTCTCGTTAAGTAATGAATTTTCCAATAATACTGCTGGCCAAAAAGTTTGAACAGAAACTTACTCAGGAGACGAGTCGGGCGAGGCAGACACTGGGCTATTTTCCGTACAATCTAAGCAACAAATGAAATAAACAAATTATCATTCAAATGTACCAAATCTATATAAACCACTGCTCGTCTGATTTTTCTAGGAAAAGAGATTTTCCTGTTGGGAGTCTTGTCTACTTTTGTCTTTCCTCAGCGTGAAGTCGAAAGATGTGTTAATTCAGGTGTTGCAAACTACACGTACTTGTGCTACGTCTATCAGTCAGCCATTCAGAGTCGAGATTCTTTTCACCAATAAGATAGCGACAAAATCTGACAACCACGAACCATTACGACGTAAACTATACGCTGATTACAAAGACACACGCCCCTGGTTAATTGATTTTTGTGTAAACTTTGGTTTTGGATTTTCGAAACTCATTCAGAATGCGCTCCACGCTGCCGTAACTGATTGGAGTGGTTCTCAAAACCAGGTAATGATATCGCAGGTCATCTTAACTGGCATTTCAATACCTACTCGATAACTTTTTCCTGTGGAATCTTGGCGAGCTCACAATTGCGTTTTTGAAGGTGGCAAGTCGCGTCCGCCAGGGGCTACCCGGTGGTGTGGTGGCGTGGTGCGTGGGCGATTCAGGAGGGGTAGACAGTGGACTCTCTAGTTGTTGCACAGTGTATGGCTGATGCCTGGGACTCACTTGTACCAAAGGACTACAAACATTGAAATAAAAAGCAGTGAAACAATGGCAGACAATGTTCCATGATGGAGAAGGTCCACTTCTCTAAGGAAACAAACAGAACACGAGTAAAAGTCATTAACTGGGATGCTACAAGTACCATGCGAATCGGAACATTCCTTTTCAGTGCGATTACGATGCTTAGGTGCTATTGAATAGTATACGGAGGCACTGTGGGGTATAGCCAGCCAGGTTAGAGGATTTTGCACCACGTGGTCCAAATAAACAAATCAAATTGTCATCTTACAGGCTAATCCGGTCACGTGATTGATTTATTTGTACCACATGATAAAAATCCCTGCCAACTGATTGGCTATGCCCCATAGTGCCCATGTATGTACTACATTTATAATGATTATCCTGGTGCATCTGTAGCCATCAATCACACGCATTCGCCATCAGATCACCACTGGCTATTTTACTCTGTTTACGCACTTTAATTGCGATGTGAAAATTAATGGGAGGGTTATAAATTAAGTAAACCCTGTTCTGGCTTGCTGGTCGGCCAAATACTCATTTTTCGGACGATCTCTCAGCCGCAGACATTATCGGCCGACATACCAGCTGCCCAAAGGGATTTATTTACTAAATATCTTCTGAATATTTGTTGACCACTCACTAGTGCAACTTAGAGGTAACAATCAAATTTTTCGTAAGTGGCTGCCAATGGTATAATAGGCAACTGTGCCAGGAAAAGGAGGAATTCACTAGGTGAAACCCAAAGACAAGCCCATTCACATGCAGGTTAAACAAACAGTGATAGAAGGTCTTGTTAGCAGTGATAAAACTCTGGTGACATGATTTTATTGATACCCTTGGGTACATCCATCAAATACTGACCAGTGAGTCAATTAACCCTTTAACTCCTTAGAGATCTGATTGTCCATTCTCCCCACTAGCTGCTACACATTTCATTGTAAATTGGTTATGAGAATTTGGTGTTAGATGAGGAAAACAACCTCTACCTGATAATTAGTTTTGGTATTCTCATTACCTGTTTGCAGGATAATGTAAAGATAATTATTATCGGGAGAAGTTTCATGTTGTTAATAATTACTTCCGGGAGTTAAAGGGTTAAGTGACAGGAGCTGTCATTTTACAACAAGGCTGTGCTCTAAGAAAAATTGAAGGGAGCCCATTGCTCCAAAGCTGTGAAATCCAGGGTGCCCAGCATATGCTTTTATGAAAAAACTAAGATTCCTGAGTCTCCCTTGAAGAGCAAAAGTAAGGGGCTAGGGGCCACCTGGCACTGCTAGAGCACAGCCCTGTACAAGATCACAGTTTTTCCCCATATTTCTATGTGGGACCTTTAAGATCTTTAGAGGGATCTTGATACAGTATAAGAGCAAGATTATAGAAAATATTTGAAAGTTAACATCAGCAGAGAAAGTAATAGTTTTGACTGTATCTGGATTCAACTTACAGATGTTTCTTGCTCTCATAAACATCATACAGTCCAAGGACATGGGGATGATCAATAAGCTTCATAATGGCAATTTCTCTCTCAACCTGGGATGAAGAAACCAAGATGCACACATATGAATCAGCATCATTCAATATTTGATACAGCATGTTAAAAAAAAATTACACACGTGTCAGACTTATTAAAATGCCCTAAAAAAATTTTTTCCCAAGTCATTTCCCAGATTTTGAGTGACACATATGGGAATGATTTTGCTGAAAGGTTTACAAGTACAAATTTCAAGGAACCCCTGAGACAATTGATCTAAACAGTTTTCTGTCTTGTCTTTTCTTGCAACTATTTCTTGTTTGCCAGCCTGGGTTATTGTGCTTTCTAAAGCCTGAAACTCATAAATTTCAAACACAGAAGTTTTGGTAAACACTTAGCTTAAACTGATGTGTTTATCACTTAAAATAAACACACACAAGACCGGCAGTGGCTAAACAAAGTAGCATTGTACTGGTATATAATCTGTGCATGAATACTCACTATTCCTTTAAGAGCACCTAAATCTGTTATTGTGCATGCTCTTAAATTTAAAAGCATTTGCTATTAAGTTTTCCAAATTTAGAGAGGAAGTTTAAGTCAAATGTAATACTCTTTTCTCAAGGTCAAAAAAGAAAATCAACTACGTATATGTATTACGAACAACATATGTACGTGCCTATTTTCTGAGAAAAAAAAAAACTAAGAAAAAAAAGAATACACTCCTATTCCGACCAGCATGTTCTTCCTCATAATAGTCAAATAAGTATCTTGAAAAAAAAAATCTGCTTCTCCAGTTTTCAATCAAACCTGAAAAAAGCTAAAAATTCGCTAAAATAAACAAAATAAAGTACAATTTTACAGTGTACTTTGAACCAAAACAACACAGCCTACATATGTAAATAAAACACAGCATGGAAGGATGACATGAATTACAAATGAATTATTATTATTCCTCAGGGTCTATTCCACATGTTCTTTTATGAATATATCACGACAAATGGATCAAATTAAGATTAAAAACAGTGATCTGTAAATTTCTCATTTACAATTTCCTTTCTAAGAAAAAGTTCATTTTCTTTAAGTTTTGAAGTAGATAGCTATTATAAAATGCAGACAGCCTAGGATATTGAGTTTTACTATCAATCTGTGCTGTCTTCTTGGCCACATCTCGAGCTGATGATTCAGACATGTAGATGAGGGAATGCTATCATAGTAAAATCAGTGAATTTAGCAGCTTTTTACCCCCTTGAATTTCATCATTCCTCTGTACTGTGAACTGCATTCATGAGAAAAGCTGAAGCCCCCCCCCTCCCCAAAAAAAAATCCACTTGTTTTATTCAATCAACAATTCTTACAAATGATATCATAATGGGGAATCACAATTTTTCACTTGATGAATGCAAATTTGCCATTAAGGAAAAATGTTCAGAGTAAGCCAAAAAACCCAGGCCCATCCTTCTATTTCTATAGACTGATGAAGAATCTAAGAATTTATTTCACACTTCCTTTTTCTTCTCTTGGCAGATATTTGATAAGAAAAAAAGTCTTAATTTTTTTTATTTAAAAGGATCAAATTTTATCATGTTTCATTATCAGCGTAGGAAATTAAAATTAAGTGGTTTCTTTATTTACATCGCACCATAGCTAAAGGTCATGCAATGCTTAAGAAACCAAAATCTTCACTTGAATTGCACATATTTGTTTTGTAAGATGATCAACTAGTGCTGGCCTGAAAAAATTGAAAATTTTATCAATACAACAATTACAGAAATGCAGGCTTAAGTTGTGTTGAAAATTTCTCATTCTAAAAATAGCTTGACAAATAATTTCACTTGCCATACATTTATGATAATGAATCACGTCTGAATTGCACAAACAAACACAGAAGCATTGCAAAACATCAATCTGTATAAATCTAGGGTTTTTTTCTCATGAAAAATATTTTTCTGAGCCAATTTCTAAGTTGATCCCACAGTGGGCATTTGTACCACACCATTCTGAATGCGAAATTACTTGCACAGCATAAAACCTCGCATTTAAGCTTGGGGTAAATTAAAAAACAATTTACTCATTAACCATTCTGGAATTTTTTTCCTACAAGATATTAGTGATCTATAAGGGGTGGGAGGACCTGAGAAATTGCTGGTGGTAGAGATGGTGTGGAATTCAGCATCCTGAGGACCACACCTTTGAAAAGGAAACTTAATATGTCATTTTCACTTGTGTGAGCAATATCATTAGGTAGTGGATGCTTTGCTTAAACACTGACTCCATAAAAAGAGCAAAAGACACATTTTTTTTACACAAGACTAACCCTCAGCAGTATAACTAAGCCAACAAAAGACAGTTAACTTATGACAAAAAGAAGTGAAAACAGTCATTCTATACAACTACAGGCAAGATGTTGGATCATAGTTTTTTTTTTTTTTTGCTGAAAATTAAGATGGTGAGAAATGTCCCTATTCAACAGAGAACTTCAATAATGACAGTATTATCATAGAAGTTGCAGAATGAACTAAAACTGCAACACCTCCAGTAGAGCACTGCTGTAGTGGAACAACACAAGCAGTGCAAAACCTGAGTCTTTTCAATAGAAAAATTTTTTATCAATTACAACAAACGGCCTTAACATCATACACATAACTCCTCTATGATGTATACACATTGTGGCAAAAATGATTTTTTCTTGAGGAAGTTTCACTGAAAAATCATAGCATAGTAGGGACAAAGGAACACAGTTACCATACGATTTTCTCAGCAGTAATTATATATGGCGACATGGTGAAATTTCTGCTTCCTGCAGACTGTCTGACAAGAATTATTTGCATTTGATTACTTGATTTCCTCAATACAGATTCAAGTGCAAACATGATGTACTATTTAATTTCCTTTATGCATCAAGAAAAACAAAACGAAACGAATTCTTCAAATCTGACAATTGGGGGTGCAATTACTACATGCACTATGCAAATAGAAAAGAGCCCCGTTGTGATGGTGTGACCGACGAAATGTAATGAAATTCACTAGAAATAGACATGTCGAAGAGTTGATCATGTTCACACATTTCAGAAAACATGATATATTCTGATGGGGAAAAAGATAAACTTTTATCACCTTTTTAAATGAATTAGATTAGGGTAAAGAGAATTTTTAAGTGAGACTCAAACGGCGAATTGAGATTTAACTCAGACTGTGATTGATAGAAGTTGTTTGCAAGGTAACGTTGAATAGATTTCAAGGGTCAAATTTGTACCACAATTGAGCAAACTCGTGGAATCTTACTGGGATCGTAAGTTCTAACATCGAACAAAATAGTCTCCTTCGGTTTCGAACTCTCGAAAACAACATCTGCATGTTTTGTAATAAAAATAACCTAATTGGCCGGTTGACATAAGATAGTCACCCAAAACTAACAAATACAACGTGTAGATTAACGGAAGCAATTTCTAGAAATTCTAGCGTATGCAAAGAAGTTATTTATCCGGATAAAGTTCTCTTCTAAACCAAAACAATTTTTTCTTTCGCAAAAGGACTGCCCCCGGAATAACGTTCGTCGGTTGAAAGACAAAACGAACCATAAACCCAAGTTGACATATTCTATTTTGCCTGTAAAGAAAACAAAACAAAACAACCCAATATGTTTTACCCTGGAATAGAAAAGATGAATGATTGTTTTGTGTTTTATTTTATGTCGAAATTGCCATCATCTGTCATGTAGTTGGCGGAAGATTTTATTTGTCACGGAAGATTTACGAAACAGTTAAAGCGCACAAACTTCCTTCAGACAAAAAAAAAAATTTTGACCCTAACCTCAATAAACAGGCTAAACGAAAAATCTAATCCAAAATATCCTAGGGAAACAAAGCAAGCCTGAAACTCATAAATATTTCAAACAGGGAAGTTTTGGCAAAAACTAAGCCGAAACTCGAGTGTTTATTGCTATACAAGAAACAAACAGGCATGCTACGATACTACTGGCAAATGACGCGTAAATAAACTGATTTCCTTCTCATATTGTGCAAGGATGTTGGCTGCAAAGTATTACAGATAACCCCGTTACAAGATAATGTGGAAATAAATGGCGATCTGTCAAGCCGTTTGTTATTTTCATCGCACAATCAGATGCAAATTGCATGTTTACATCGTCGGAATATTCTAGAATCTTTCAATTTTTCTAAAAAGTTCATATTTACGTTGAAACGACCAATTTGTAAGTTCTTACCTTGCTTAAAACTTGTTCGCTAAGCTTCGTGCGGTCAATAATTTTAACTGCAACTTTCTTCTTAGTGACACAATTTATTCCAAGTTTCACGAGCCCTGTTGAAGCGGAATAAAACACTCAAGCGAGCTGCAATAAAAAAATGAAAATAAAAAATTTAGAGAGCGCGAAATCACTGATTCGTACCGGTTTGCCCTCTTCCCAAGGTTCCTTCGAGAATGTAGGGTCCCACAGACCGTATTTCACATCCCGCCATAGCAAATCAAAATTTTCAACACTTGTAGTGCCGAACGGATTTATAAAAACGCAAATACTCCTCAAATTTGCTGAACTTCAGCATCATTTCGGAAACCATACGATAACCAGAACAAAAACTCGCAAACTCCAGCTTGAAAGGCTTCAGTTTGAACCTCATTATACTACATCTGTCAATCAAATCCTATTGTTCCTTCATTGACTGTGATTGGTTAGCGCCCATTTTCACAAACAAACAACGAACAACCAATTTTTTTCGCGGCAAATGGGCTGGGATCACGTTTTCTTTCCCGCACCTGGCCGCGAAACGATATTTTTAGGCAGATTTTTTCCCTTGTTGACAAGTAACTTGCGATTTATTTAATTGAAATGTTATTTCCACCACTTTGGTATTCTACACATCCAGAAACCTCCGATTCAAGAGGCAGATGTCCCTGCGATGAAAAATGATAAGTTAAACCATTTCAAGAGGTCGTAAAAATGCTGTTGCGATATTAGGACAAATGTAAATTTGATCAAAGTAGCAATGTTTTTTAAAGAAAAATCTATTTGTTTGGCACAAACGTCATTTGGCTTTCTAGATTTAAACCTATTGCAACTTGTTATTACCACAAATTTAAATGAAATGATAAGATTTAGACTTCTGTAGTCACGCAAACACAAAAACGCCAAGAAAAAAGAAAAACAGACAAATTTGAACTCTTTCTGGATATTTTTAAAGAATATTAGAGGTATCACAGAGATCTGAGTGAAGAAGATTTCTAACATGCAGAATCTAGTATACAAGCCGGCACCTATTAGTATCTCGGATTCCCCTCGTTGTAATAATTTAATTATGCTCACAAAGTCTCACCAGGAAAGGTCAAAAATAATAATACGGCAATTATGATAATATGAACAATAAAATTGTAATGAAAGTATTAATGGTAAGTGGTTCGTAATTTGAATATTCGAAGATCGCGCTCAAAAATTCAACATTATTCAGTAATCCGGTTTACACTCTCGACTCTTTCAATACTGCTGATAAAGAGGAGTACGGGCGCTTGTCTAATACTGACGAAGTCTACAGTAAATTCTAACTTTATGAAAGCATTTGGTCTAATGATAACTAAGAGAAAAAAAATCTTAAATATGAGCAAGAATTGATTTTCTTTCATAATTGATCGGAGTCATTTGCTTTAATGCTTATCGACCACTCGTTCAGGTCGATCGATCTCAAGTGCCAAAGAAATGCGACGTAATCAAAATTTAAGCGCCGAACCCCTCAGATGTAAGCCAGGCTGTTGGTTGCAGAGGCATAAAAAATCTTGCCGATTTTTTAATTCCCAGACCCACCCCTTACTCTCCCGTGTATCTCCCAGCTCATCAGCTCCCCCCTCTCCCTAATTTCCGATCCGAGCATGCATCCATTGTTGTATCACAGGGGGCCCACACTAGCGGCATGTCTGGTCGTTTGTTCGAAGTATAAAGAAACGTATGGGAGAATATTGAAGAGTCGTAACATCGTAAACTTATATCGAGGAATGTCTATGAGTAAGAGTAACAGTAAACGCAAAATCTACCAAATCGCTCAAATTCGCCATTCAGAACCACAGAAACGACAATACACGGCAAGTGAGGTAGGTTTACATTTATTTTGAGCCTTAACATAGACATTCCTCGATATAAGTTTACGATATTACGACTCTTCAATATTCTCCCATACATTTCTTTATATTTCGAACAAACGACTCGGACACGCCGCTTGTGTGGGCCCCCTGTGATTGTAGTGGGAGCAATCGTTCAGCATTCTAAGCAGCAATGTGGCTTCACAACCTATTTATGCATTCTTCATTAACTAGTCAAAATTCTGAGATACTTTGTTAAATACCCAAAAAAAGTAATTACTCGACTAGTGTAAAGAGGACAGCCTAGATTCACCCCTTCACACTGAAAGGGTGTATCTTACCTTAACAGACACAAGAATCTTACGACAGAAATCTGATAAACGCTTGGTCACGGTGAGGGGGAAAGGTGGGTTACCTGTGACGGACCACTGAGCTAGCTCCAGTATACTTCATAGGACAGATAGGCTCAGCTGTGGCCGTCCGGCATGCAGTCTCGTGTGCAGTTTTCCTAAGGATATAATAAATGATTGTTCATTGTGAAGTCATTGTGGCTATGGAGGTTTGTCTCCTGGACGTCTAAACTCATTTCTTTTGGCGATTGAGCCACTCGCAATTCAACCGTTGCCCAGAATTCTCGGCAATGACGTTAATATCTGCCAAGAGATAAGAATCTCTTGTATCTACTAAATGCATTAATGGTTTGTGTGATCTACCTAGGGGATAACGAAAAATATCAAATATTAAGAGTGATTTTGCAGAAATCACTAAGAAAGCAATGTTTGAATAGGGTGAGCCCTTTTGGTTCGATCTTATTATGTATATGTTACACTGTTCATTATTTGCAACTTCGTGTGCAATCTATGCTTGGCTCTCAGTCGATGGAACCAATCGAGAAATGCGGTGTTTTATTGATCGACCACTGTCTCCACTTCCAGGGGCAGAAAGCTAATAACTTAAAAGAGGCTATTACATGCATCATATTCTGAGCTGAAAGGTTAGCCTTCGAGCGATTTCTTCTCAAGTAATAACTCTTAAAACTTCACTCTTTCTTCATCCCCAAGCAACCCTAAATCGTTCTCTCACGCAAGTTTTTAAGTGCCGTTGGTGGATCTGAAGCCCGTAGATGGGTTATGTTTATTTCAGCGCAACTACTTAACTTAAGCCAATTTAAGTAAGTTCGGTCGTCTTTTCTCTCGTATCGGCTACCAATATTGAGAAACAAGACGCCATCTAGAGAGATATATTTCCCTTAAACAAAACTTGCGGCCGCCCTTTGTGTGCGCTGAAGGCGTTTTATAAGGTATCCCTGAAGGGGCGAAAGAGTCGATAAAGCAGTTATCGAATTTTTACTAGAATCTTAGGGCGGACTCCAAAGTGAACTGGGATCGAACGCTAAGCGACCACGTTATAGGAAAATTGTTAGCCAGCGGGGTACATTAGAAATGCCATCCAAGATGGCGGACCACGAGACTGTTCTTCTTGAGGTAATAAACACCAAGCACAAAAAGAATGGCGGAACCTTGCGTCTCATGTCCAATGACCTGCTTTGGATTCCTTACGGGTCAGATAATCCCAAGCTGTCTTGTGCCTACTCTGAAATCAAAGGTAAGATTAACCGACCGATTTGATTCGATTGAATAATTGAAGTTTTCTGTCACGTGTACAAATGCAACTTGTCTTCATCAGCCGGCATATTGCTACTGATACTGCTACGTGATTATAATTCGAAAAGTGAAGTGCTGTTTCTAATATTTATATCTGATATCGTTAATAGGGCTTGCAGACTAAAGCTATCAGTGGAGTTTGGCATTTTCTTTCTCAATAATTCATTCGTCTAGTTGTCTTGTCGTTAACTTCGTAGCCATTGCGTCGTGGAATGCCTCTACAGGGAAATAGGGTTGTGAGTGCATTGTATATGCACGGTAATGGTTTCATCGGCTTGAAATTTATGGTTTTTCCTTTCATTTTTCTCATTTCTTCACTTGTCTAATTAGATTCAGTTGAAGGAATCTGTTTTTTTTCCTTTAGTTTTTTTTAAACCTATTCAAATTTTATCTCACTCGTTCTCTTTTTTTCGTTTAGTAATTAACCATGCTTTCCATCAGTTTTCTATTGTGATAACATGCTAGAATTTGGGAGAACATGGAAATTTTTTTGTGAATTATGAGCTAAAGGTGGATTTTTACAATCCCTATTGGGGCCATTACACCATTAAACGTAATGTGCAAATAATTTGGTGTTGGATCGACCAATGATCCCCTAATTGATATTTTTCAGTATTCTCATTACTTGTCTGCTTGATATCATAACAAGAAATTATGTCTTGGTCACTCAGAAAGTTAAAGGGTCAACAGGACCTCACAGTTATAACGAGCAATATGTATTAATTTTGACCAATGAAAATGTGTTGTTCTTATAATAAGTGAGGGTATTTTGTGATATGTGCGGTAATTTTTCAACCCTGGTTTGAGCTAGGTAAAATGCCAGCAGTGAACTCTAAATTATGTGGTACTGTCAAATTTGTGGAACATACATTGTTTCCTACAACAAATGAACAAAGTATTAACAATTCAGTCAATGGACTCTTGTATAATAAGTCTAGTAATAAATATCAAGTAAAGCCATTAGCACTGAACACATGCCAAATATAAGAACGAATTATTTAAAACGATAATCTCTGTCCACAGTTCAACGGATAAGTCCAGAGGGCAGCTCAAAAATACAAATACAGATTGTTCTTCATGACGGAAACTCCTTCACTTTCCAGTTTACCAATGACTCAACAGCAAATGCAAAAAAAGAAAGAGATGAGGCAAAAGACCTCCTTGCACAGCTCATTCCAGTCCATCGAAAAAAGGCCAATAAAGAACTTGAAGAAAAGAACAGGTACAATTTTGAAGTTATATGTAAATTTAAAGTTATTTCTTATTTGATGCACCCAGTTTCAAGTACCCAGCCTTCTCTTTTTCAGGCAGTAACCAGTAAAATTTACCACCATTACATGTAGTACATCTTAATTTGGGCTAAACTGATAAATGTAAAGAAAAAATGATCCCATCAATGCATCATCAAGAGTTGGTAGACAATCAGCCAACGCATTGGTTGATCATACCAACGTTTTGGTGGTGTGTTGGTGGATGTGTTGTTTGTATGTTGATGGTGTTTCAGTAGTGTGTCAACCAATGCCTTTGCCAACTCACTGGCCAATGCATTGCTGGGATTGGATTCGTTATCTTTGTCCCTAAACTCATTGGGAATTCTTGAAAATTCAATAGGTAAAAAGATTGTGCTACTAGTTTGAAATTTCTCTTACCTATTGTACCCAAAATAAGGGTGAATATTGGGTACTAATTAGTTATGGGAAGGTGGCATCCATGGAGACTCTTTGAGAGATTTTTCAGGAGTTTTCAAACACTAGATATTGTCAGTGAAAGTTTTCTCGAGAAGATCATTCAAGTTATATGCTTGCCCAAGTATGAGTAACATATTAATACTTACGTATGATGCACGATCCTCGCAGTAGAGATCGCTATTTATGCAATAGCYAAAATCAGACCTGAAAAAAATCAGGCCTGTATGGGATTTGAACCACTGATCTCTGCGATACTAGGGCAGCGCTCTACCAATTGAGCTAACAGGCCAACTGTGAGCAGGCCGTTAAGTTGATTTGTATTAAACACGGGTGATGATAAATCATCACGGGTTTATTACGAATCCACTTAACGGCCTGCTCCCAGTTGGCCTGTTAGCTCAANTATCCATCGTATATTAATACTTGTTCACCTGATCGTTTATCACAGAATGCTGAAAGATAATCCTGAATTGTATCAGCTGTATAAAGATCTGGTTGTCAGTGGTGTTATTACTGCTGAAGAATTCTGGGCAAATAGAACAAAGGTAACCAATGGATGCCAACATGTGTAACAGAGTTCTTCCTTCTCATTCCAAAGAAAATTTCACTTGTTTATACATATCATAGTCTGCACACAGTCCTTCAGAATCTCTTTACAATGTACAAATGGGTGTATTGTGTTAGTGGGTACTGGGTACCGGGTAATCTTCAGTTCAAAAAATTAATGCTAAAGTTGAAGTACAACAATTTGTCATTTGTTGTGTTTTTGTTTTCTTAGCAGAATCAGGAAACTCAGGTGGTACAATCAGACCAGGCAGTTGGTTTGTCCTCGGCATTGCTTGTATGTTGACTATTTGTTGATTAGATGTACACAACTAATGTTTCGAGTGGTTGCCTGAAAAAAATTGTAGATGGCAATTTGTCCTGATTGTAGGCAGTATATAATTATGTGTGAAGAGGTACAAGTTACTACCAGTAATCAAAATCATTTCAAACTGTGCTTTGTTTTTCTTTAGGCAGATATGCAACCCGAGAGTTCAGGTTGCAATGAAGTCAAGTACAATTTGAATGTGGATACTATTGAGGCCATATTCAAAACATATCCTGCTGGTAAGGACACATACAGTTTAGTAGTTTTTCAGGCCATGATTATTTTGGTCAGCATAGCAAGGTGACAAAATTTTGGCAACTGAGATTGCAGCAAAAGTCACCAAACTGGTGACTTGTGATCTGTGGTCACATGGAAAACTGTAATGTCTATGTGTGTGTGTGTGCTTAATGTTTTTGGTTCAAAGTTAAAGTGACATAAACATTTGCACAACACAATATGTAATGTTGCACACATTGCTGTTTCCGTTTTTCCTCTTTCTTTTTCTTTTTTTTTTATTTTTCTGGCAACCAAGCTTTTATTCTAGTGAACATTGATGATTTAAGTTTGCCAAGAGTCAACTGGAAAGACTTGAGTTTAAAACCTGAATGGCAAAGGTCTGTAACTAAGGACACAATTTATTAGTAACAACAAACCATCTACAAATTAGGAGTGTTGACTCATATAATATGGTAAAACTCTTTCTCATCAGCTGAAGAAAGAATGCAGCAAAATGTTGTTTCTGTTAATAAATGGCTATATTTTTTTCCTTAGTGAAAAGAAAACACCAAGAGGTTGTGCCTCATGAGGTAATAGTTTCAAGTTTGCTAGTAACCATCGCCAAGTATAAAAGTCACCATTTTCTCATTTTGCCGAAGCAGTTACCTTAGGGTGTTAATCTTTAACTTTCATTATAAACTGAAAGAAAGAAATGAACACCTCTTCTTAAATAAATTGTACCTTTCTCAGGAGTTTCAAAACAAGGCAGGGCCTGCCAGAGTTTCGCCAGTTACGTGATAACATTTTGCCAACTATTCTGGTCAAAATAGTTACTTTTTGGCCATTAATGACTTTTTCACAGACAATTACTTGGGCAGAGTCTGACGCCTACTTCAAAACAGTTTGAAACACTCGCTTTCTCGTTAGCATAAGTGTCATAGGGTCGCGTGGAGCCTGAGCCTGAGCCTCAGCCTGAGCCTGAGTTGGGTCGGACGTGCGCAGTTTTAGTAGACTTAGGACTCGTGTTTCTCGTTTGTGAGTTTCTGGAAGTGAATAGAACGTTAGTCGTGTCATTGTTTGTCTTGTTTTGTTACAATAGCACTTGCACTATGCAGAGGAGTTTCCATGACTTTTTCCCCAAGCGGCTGCCAAAGGTGTAACAGGAAGCTTGGGCTGTACGGCAAAACTCAAATACGTGAGCCAGTCCCGTGGCTAAATAGACAACAGTGAGAGATATTTCAGGAGGCAGTAGACTTTTGGGAGCCAGTTGTTATGTGCTATTGATGATGCCATCTGCCAGCCTGAAAAAATGCATGCATGAGCAAATTAGTGAGAGCGTCAAGTTCTTCTCACCTACTAGACGGGGGCATTGGGAGTTTCGGTTTTGCGGTTTTGGCTATTTTTCAGATCGCTTTTTCGGTTTTGTGTGAAAAAACTTTGGTTTTTTTTGGTTTTGGTGTTTACTGCGGTTTGCGGGTTTTCCGTTTTTAAGCTTTTGGTTTTCGGTTTTTGTCAAAAATATTAATGGTTTTCGGATTTGGCATCCAAAGTTGTTTTTCGGTTTTTCCTATTTGGGTTCCGGTCTGTGCGGCAATTATTGCGTCTTCACTGTTCTCTAACAGCTGCTGTATCGGATCGATTTGGGTTTTGATAACTTTGATGTGAAAATTTATCAGTTTTGACGTCTTTTACTTGCGGTTTTCGGTTTGCATCCAATTTTTTTTGCGGTTTTTCCAGTATTGGAAGTTTTTTCCTACGGTTTTGCGGTTTCTAATCAACCCTATGGCCCCCTCCTGCTGCAGCACTAGTTTCAACTTGCCTAGGGTCTGTAACAGTTTATTTTTGAAGATGGCTTTTAGAGAAAGAGCCATTTACACTGCTTTCTTGTTTCCAGATGCCAGAAAAAGACTTTTGGACAAAGTTTTTTCAGTCGCATTATTTCCACCGAGACAGAAATAACACAAGGGCAATGTCAGGTGACATCTTCACTGAATGTGCAAAGGAGGATGAACTGGGTAAAAGTTAAAACTGGCTACCGTAAAGAGTTTCTAAGCTGACATTTAGAGGGTTAGACCTTCTTTAGAGCGATTGACGAAAAACGAGAAACAGTTTGTTGTTTAGTTGCTGTACCAAAAGGCTGTGTGGTTATGTTTTCAAAGGCTGATAGTTTCGAAAGAAACTGTTTGGGGCTGCGTCGGTGGGAGTAACGAAATAATTTGGACATATCAACAAAGTTGAAATGGTAAATTAGCCACCGTAATGATTACAAAAGCTGACGTTTCGAGCGTTAGCCCTTCGTCGGAGCGAATAGAGGAAGGGCTAACGCTCGAAACGTCAGCTTTTGTAATCATTACGGTGGCTAATTTACCATTTCAACTTTGTTGATATATCCAAATTATTATGTTTTCAAAGATCGGTCTTTTCGCGGTCTTATCATCGGCAGGAAGGCTCGAGATAATTTTGCCTGCTGTCGTAAACTTTTTTCGATCTTCCACTAAACAGTAAAGTTAATTCGAGTTAGAGACAACCACTGTAAATCAAGATGTCTCTAGTTAATTATACCCTTTTCTTACACAGAGCAATTGTCAAGGAAACTTGCAACCTTCAGTGATCCTTTGTTGGACTTAACAGGAGCGTCACCAGTTCCTGAAGAGGTGTGTAAACGGTGTTGTAATCAAGAGAGAAGGAAAGAGTCTGTATGCGTCGCTAACTTGCTTTCGATACTATGACGACTTAGAGGAGAAATTGTGAACTGACTTTCTTCATTTAATAGGGATATGGACTAACTGCAGAGGCGATAGATCCCAAGAACAACGTAGCAACTCAGTCCTTGTTCAGAAAGCTGAATCACCACAGTTTAATGGTGTTGCAAACCACAGCTTCCGGGTAAGAAGTCGCAACATCTGTGACACCATCAATATCGGTGACGCACTGGGCTTTGCCTCGTTTGCCACTTACTTGACGTCATCTATGTTCCATATCTGAACAGACGCACATGGAATCTACATGAATTTGTTTAATCCTTCTCTAAACTTTAGCTTTATCCTATGCGCGAGCCCCCCAGTTAGACTACGAGCAGAGTCGCGAGTCGAAATAAAGCCATTAAATAAAATTGATGTTAGCGCGCCGCAGGAAGGTTTAGGACGTGTACGTTTGGCGTGTAAGTCAAAATTAAAGCTTCCCGCGTTGTGCTGACGTCAATTTTTTTTTCATAGATTTTTTTCGACTCGGCGGCGGATTTCTCTGAAAAGGAGGGTTTCTCGTAGTCTGGAGCCCAGTCAGTTGATTGTGATAATGACATCAACTCGGGTTGTCAATTCCCAGTCTGTCACGAAGCACATCGTCCTTTTAAAGACTATCATAGTGTGATCTTTGTTTTGTACCATTTTCCTTAGGTCCACCGTCAACAAAGAAAAGGAGAAAAATGGAAAGAATGGCGAAGTTAATGAGAGAGATCCCCCTACAAAAAAGGTTGGTAAATTGTTCTTGGCAACAGTTCTCCCTTGTTAACTAACGTGGAGGCATACCACCATTTTTCTCTCTCTAATTTCTCTGAAGAGGTAAGAGGTAAGAGTTTATTTAACGTTAAAAAGAAAAGAAAGAAAAAAAAAGGGATAACGTTGGGAAAGAATGAGTCCTTGTCGAGTTAGTTAAATACGATTTTTGACACTCACTGCTAAATAAGTGACAAACCTATCAGCACAGTAATTTTAGTTTTATCAAATGAGTTGATAAAGTAAATTGGCCACCGTAAAGGGTTTCAAAGCTGACGTTTCGAGCGTTAGCCCTTCGTCTTTCGCTCAAACGAAGGGCTAACGCTCGAAACGCCAGCTTTGAAACTCTACACCGTGACGGTTGCCAATTTGCGTTGTCAACTCAGTTGATAAAACAAAAATTATCTTGCTACTCCCACCAACGCAGCACCACGGTTTCTCAAGAAACTTACCCCCTTTATTCATTTATCACCTCAGTACTTGACTGGAAGGAAGGCTGATACGCTGTCATTTGTTTCGCACAATTTTCCTTCTGAAAAACAAGTAAACTACACCGGCACTTAATTTCGTACTATTTGATTTTCTATCTGTCAGAGTCGTCTCCGAGGAATGGTGGAATATGGCGATTTGTCTGAGCAGCAAACCAGAGAGCTCCCAAGCTTAAAAATTGCTGATTCGTCAAAGTTTTCGCAAGGTCTGATACCGGCCATCTCAAAGGTAAGCTATTCCATAGATCAGTTGAGTAGCAAAAGAAACCCGGGCTTCCTTCGTGTTTTCTTCGCTACGTGGTGAAACTGATAGAGAAAACTCGCTCTACTGTCTCAGCCAATTAGATGCAAAACTAAAATCCATCGCGACGCGGTCATTCTCGTTTTCCCGCCCTTTATGACGCCTACGTGTGATTGCTTGAGTTCTCACTGGCTGCGAAATTGGATATGTCAACAAAGTTGAAATGGTAAATTGGCCACCGTAACGATTACAAAAGCTGATGTTTCGAGCGTTAGCCCTTCGTCGGAGCGAATAGAGGAATTGTGGGTCGAGTGTGCTTTTAAAGGCAGAAAATG